AAACCGAGTTTCTTGGCCCAAAACAGGTCCAAACTTTGGCTCCAGAGGGTAAAGCGCTGGACACCCTGCAGGTATGTGGACTTAGCTTGAGACCAGATACATCCAAGGGGTCTGGAGTTTTAAGAACGCCACACCCTCAGGTGCAGCCAATTTGGACCTGTTTTCAGCCAAAAAACTCGCGCTATCTTGATTCGACCACAGTGGCTCTGAACGTGACAAGAAAAGAAAGAGTCCCGCGGGCTATTATTGATCTAAGATTAAAAAAAAAAAAAAAAAGATCTAAGATGAACAAGGGGGAGTTGGGGGGGGGGGGAAACAAATGAAAAAGTCGTATAGGACCGGAAGTCCCGCTAGCAAAAAGGATAGGATCGAGATTTTGAATCTGGATGTGTTTTATGCAGAGATGCAGAAAAGCAGTTCAATCTCGATTTCGTGCACATCTCCATAATCTCGTCCAGATTCGGGCATTAGATCCGATCCTCTTTGCTAGTGGAACCACGCCCCTGATTCAAGAGAAGAATGCGAAAACACAATTGCTCTGATAACCACTTCAAAATTCAAATGCAATTTTTCTTTCTTTTGCGAGTGGTTATCAGATGTCGCCACTCGCTTCCCGCCACCCGTTACCTTTGCCTGTGCCCCGTCCAAGCGCTCCCGCCATCGGCTCCTGGGATTAACCGATCTGATCTCATTCCTTCCGTCGTCCGCTTCCCGCCACTCGCTTCCCGCCACTCGCTTCTCAGTCGAGTAATAATTCCCGCGCACTTGCAGCAGCGCTTTCATTGCCCGCGAATCTCATCCGATTGTTTTGAAACGATTCCCGACAAAACCCCACTCCACTCTCACAGCAAATGCCTCCCTCTATTACCCCGCTAACACTCCAATTGCCCGACGTGTGAATGGCGGGAAATGCTTATCTTCGTCACCACCGTCTCCGACATCATCGGAACCGTTCCCGCCATGTAACTCATCCGCCAGTTGCCCGACGGTTTTCCCGCCATTCCTCTAATCATACTCTTAAGTCAGGAGGGGGGTTTCCCGCCATTCCTCTAATCATCCTCTTAAGTCAGGAGGGGGTTTTCCCGCGAGTCCTCTAATCATACTGACCTAACCGCTTGTTATGCCGCTTGGCGCCAAATATAACAAGCGGCGTGGCGGCTTCGTCTTGTTTGCGGGCGGAGTATCTCCCGCCATCATGCCATTGTCACCCTCGATGCTGAGAAGCAGAGCACCACTGAGCAGCCGCCTTCCTCCACCTCGACCTCGACATGACGCGAACAGGCACTGCCTGATTATGGCTACCGGCAGTGCCTCGGCATCACCAGAGCAAACCTGAGGAGGTAGGTAGGGAAAGGTGAACGTGCAGAATGTGCGCGGTGAAGGTGCAGTGCGCAGTGTGAGCGTTAACGCTACGCAATTTTAGGAAACGTACGGGCCTCTACAGGAGCGCCCAAATTCATCCAACTAGAAACGTTTGTACTCTATTTTTTTTCCGCGGCCGATAGCTGGGCCAAGTACTGGTGGTTTAATGTTTGGGCGGGAAGAACTATTATGATGGGAGAAGGGCGAAATTGGGAGAGGTGAAGTGGGGTCGTGTTTTTGGAATGGGGATGTTTTCGCCTAGAAGGAACAACAATGGGTGAACGTGAGAGAACACCTCCCAAGTCGAAGGGAGAAAAAGAAAGCCACCACTCCGTACCTCTCCCCAAACCACGGGTAAGTGCGCACCATATTGTTGCTGGAAGAGCAAAGCGGTACCAGCCACTCGTCCCGGGTATTATTTTGCGGTCGGTGTATCTTCCCATGTTCTTCTGGAAGATTCGTTCCCATTTTGCAGCTGTGGTGAGCAGTGGAGCGAGGCCCAACGTGGGGACTGTGATGTGGGCATGGGCGACTTTTTTGAGTGCTACAAAACGAGGTCCGGGAGGCTTGACACTCGATTGTTCTTCTTTTCTTTTTCCTTTTTAATTCTACATTTTTTTCGAAAATTTTGTTTTTTTTTGAAGCAACTCAAATCATTCCAAATGAGAGACGGACAGAGGCCCGGGAATACACCTCGACAATACAACCGGGTCAATCAAACATGCTGGGGCCATTACCCAGCTGTGGGCTTCTGGAAACCGGGTCCAGTGTCCCTCCTCTTAAAGTACTCCAAAAAAAACAAAAGAATGAAAGGCTTCTTCTATTCCTCCTTTCCTCACAGTCTACCCAGTGAAAATTCTGGGAGCATTACCCAGTTTATAAACCCATGAAAAAGTAGAAACTTGTTGGATAAACCAACGCACCTCTAAGAGGCAAAATGGATTCTGGCAGACTTAGGGGCTCGTTAGACACTCCTCGGCGCGTCCTCGGGCTCCGAGGGGAAATCCTCGGGGCAGCCCGAGGAATTTCCCGCTTTCGTTCCACTGCTCCCTCGGGACGACGCCCGAGAATGCTCCGAGGACTGGCCGCGGGGAGACGTATAATTCCATACGCGGCCGCGGGACGAAAGTTTGGGCGGTGGTCCATCGTCCGGTGTCCGTGCAAGCGGCCTTGGTCCACCGCGTTCAGCCTTCGAATTCGAAAAGGGACTGCCGCCGCCTCAATGAGGAAAAAATCCGCGCGCGCGCGTGCACTTTCAAAATTCAAATTTCGAATCGGCCGACCATGCCGTGCGGTGTGGTTCCGCGGGGACATGCGGGTACCTTGGGGCGACCCCATGGGGGACTCTGGGGGGTTTTGCAGTGGGCGTCACGCGAGGGAGCCGCTAGCCGTTGTGGCGCCATCCCAATGTTCCACACGTATTTGAAGAGATGCCTCTCCGTGGCCCTCCGTCGACTGTTGTGAGCGTCTCGTTCCGCCTTGCTCGTTCGTCTTCACGCACCGCTGCACGGCCGCCATCTCCGCCAACTTGCTCGTGGGCAGTCCATTGCTGGGGGCGTCCGGTCGAGTGTTGGGCGAGTTCACTCCGCGAGGATGAGTGCGATGTCTGAGGTGGTCCATGTGCGTGAAGTGGGTGACGGAGATGACGTCGGGGCCGGGTTGTCCGTTGTGGAGAGGGCTGCCGTGACGTCTGTCGTAGCCGCCGTCATCATGCATTGCGACATGGAGGTCGAAGGTCAACGGCGGTGGGCACAACTACCTGCCCAGAGAAGGAAGTTGATGCCGGCAGCGACGACCGAAACGTTGGATAGCGCTGCCATCTGTGATGCCGTGTTGGAGGTGTGTTGTGCACTGGGATGTGGGGGACTACCGAGGGCGACGCCGAGGTGGTGGGTAAAAAGGAGGACGGGGGGGACTTGGGAGGATCTTCGGCCTGCGGACGACGCCACTGACGATTACTTCCGCGACAAGTTACGGATGTCTCCACGTGTCTTCCGCGAGATCGTTGAGAACTTGTCGCCGATTCTCCAGCGACGCGTGACGTTCTATAGGGAACCGTTGCAACCAGACCAGATCGTCGCCTACGCGCTGTACAGGAGGGCATCTAGCGAGACATACGAGAGCAGCAGCTGCAGCTTTGGGATTGGCAGGGCTTCAGGTTTGGTGGCCGTCCGGGACGTTACTGCTGCGCTACTTTTGGTGCACAGGGAGAAGGTAGCATGGCCGACTGGGGTGCGGAAGGCGATCGTTCTGCGTGCTTTTGCAGACAAGGGTTTCCCGAACTGCCATGGGTGCATCGACTGCACCCATATCTACGTGGACAAGCCAGCGAATGCACCTGCAGAAGACTACTACGACCGCAAGAGACGCTTCTCTGTCGTTGCTCAAGTGGTGGTCGACTTGGACTTGCACATCCTGGACGTGTTTGTGGGATATCCGGGGAGCTGCCACGACGTCCGGATCATCCATCTCTCCACTCTATGGTCGCGGGCGGCGGCGGGAGAGTTGTTTACAGGGCCTCCTGTGCTGCTACCGTTCCAAGTGCAGACGAATGGTTATTTGCTGGCCGACAATGGTTACCCGCCGAGCGAATGGATGGTTGTCCCGTTTGGCGGCGTGGMGYAGCATCCCCTGGAGAGTCGYTTCGACARCAAGCAGAAGACCGCGAGGGGGGCAGTGGAGAGGGCGTTCGGGAGACTGAAAGGAATGTGGCGCTTGTTCCTAGGCTCGCACAAGACCAACATGGAGACCTTGCCCCAGCAGTTCGTGGTCGTCTGCATTCTTGCACAACATCCTAATCGACGCCGGCATCCCTTTCAACGAGAACTTGTTGTAAGAGGTTGACGCCAATGGAGTTCGTCGTCGGGTGGATCTCGGGATCCATCGCCCCCCCAGGCCGTTGTGCATGGAAACTTCTACGGGGGAGGCGATCATGCTGCGGCAGGCGCTGGCGGAGCGAATGATGCGGCGATGACGGCAGAGGGACCTCGCGAGGCGGCGGGAGCTGCGGGCCGTGTATGATGGAGGAACATTTGACGGCGGCGGTGGGAGGAAGCAGTGTGCGGAGAGACGACGGGCGCTGTACATGTGCCATGCCGTCCAATTTTCGGTCAGCAGTGAGGGACGTAGAGCGGAGAGTGATAATCATGTCTCGTAGACCCCGCGCCATATGCCGTCCGTTTTAGAGTTTGTCGAAAGTTTTTCCTTTTCGTTTTTCGATCCGCGACTTCGGGCTGGTGCGTTGATAGTGGGGCGTTCCCTGTTGGTGTGGGCGAGTCTTTGGGCAACGAAAACGACGGCGGTGGCCGGTTAGTGTGATTAGTAAATGGCGTTGAGATGGAGTTGTTGTCTGCCACGAGCGGCAGTCGTGTACATCTCTTCGGGCTCCTTCGGGACGTTCTACGGAGAGCAATCATGTCGGCAGTGTGTTTTTATAATTCGCAAGAGTTTGGTGATTGTTGGGTTGTGATCAGAAAGTGTTGTTCGTTGTCGGCGACTGTTTTCCTTCCTCTCCTACGCACTCCCTGCTGCATGGATGGAATGCTGACGTGTGAAAGAAAGAAGTCTGCGAGCGCAATCAAATGGTGTTTACATGTGTTCATATAGACAAATGGAATTCATGAAGATGCAGGAAAAGAGTTTTGTGTCTGCCTTCATTCGTCTGCCTCTTCATCGTAGGGTTGCCAGTGTTTGGTGTATGAGTGCGTGTTGTGATAAAATACAACGATATGCAAATGGCAATGATCAATGGTCATCGCAGATTTATGTTCACAAACAATTCCGAAAACAAGTGAAGCATAAAAAAAAAAAAAAAAAAAAAGCTCCAAATAAAACAAACAAAAAACAAATAGAAATAAAATAAACAATATACAAAGGAAGGGAAGGATCGATCGGTTTGCGTTCGGGAAGCATGCCAACACAAAAGAAAGGAAGAGTCGAACTGGGCTGAAGAGAAGGAAAGTAGAATAGCACGTTTCCAAATTATAAAGCACACGACACTATATATAAACATCAAAAAGATTTTCGACGCCGCACCAGCGGCGTGCCAAAAACGGTGGTCCACTAAAAAAATCTACACTGCACTGGGTTGCTGAAAGCCCGCGGGATCTGGCGACGACGTGTATGAGCACCAGTCCTCACAGTAGACGACCATCGAACACGGCCGTCTGCACCATCATCATCATCGTCATCATCATCATCGGCATCATCATCTTCATCATCATCATCATCACCATCATCATCATCATCGGCATCATCATCATCGGCATCATCATCATCGTCGCCATCATCAACATCATCATCATCATCATTGTCGTCATCATCATCATCATCCTCGTCATCATCCTCATCCTCATCATCGTCGTCGTCGTCATCATCGTCGTCGTCGTTTTTGTCGTCGTTATCATCATCATCATCATCATCATCATCATCATCATCATCATCATCATCATCATCATCGTCGCCGTCTTCATCGTCATCACCATCTTCATTATCGTCGTCATCGTCGTCGTCGTCGTCAGCACCCTTCGCGATGGCCAGGAGGTGCAGGCGAGTTTCCTGTATCATCTTCACCAGCCCATGCCCCTCCGTCTCGTTCCAGAAACGATGATCGTCGACCCACAGCCGTGCTTTCGTCTCCAGAGCCGCCACGCCTCTCGTTCGCCTCTGCCTGTTGATGAGCGGATCGTCGTCATCATCACCATTACGCCCGTCGCCCCCGCCTCCTCCCGCTCCCCCCGTCGACGTGCCCGCAATGGCACCCGGCGCCGCGACATCCTTCGCCCCGCTGCGCGCGGGGGGATGGGGCCTGCTTGCTGCAGTCACCGCCGCCCCCTCCTCCCTTCTCGCCCGTCCCGCTGCTGGCATCGCCTGGGTCGACGACGCCCGCAACGGCTGTTGTCTGCCAATGTCATGCGCCGCGGGGACGTCTTCGATGCCGCCTTCCCCCCCTTCATCTCCGCTGATCATTCGCGTGGCGGTTTGTTCACGCGAGCTCCCTTTGACGCCATGATACGTGTCCGCCTCCGATTCGAAATCGTCGTCCTCGTCGTTGCTGCCCTCCGTGATCCACTCTTCCCGCGCGGCCCTGCCAATTACCAGGGCGCCGCCGCCTAATGCCTTCCCCTTCTTCGCCTGATGTCTCCCCCGCTTTACGGCGGTAGCAGTTTCGCCCTGATTCGACTCCCTCCCCTTTTTCCCCTTCGCTGCGTTGCGCGTGTTCGTCATCGCTGTGAAGACGAACGACGTCGATGGCGGACGGCTGGTGGAGGAGACTGCTGAGGGCCGCACAACCTGCCGCTATCTGCGTGTGATTGAACAGACGCCAGACGCGCGGACGGCGCGTATCTCACGGCAACACTGATGACCCGGCTGCCACGCCGCCTTGTCGAACAGCCACGAAGACGCGCGCTGCGCAAGTTTGAACGGCGACACCGTGTCCAAGCGAATTCGGCGACGAAGACGACGTCCGAAGAGAAGGAGGTGTGTCGACGAGGTGTCCAGGCGCAGTTCGCGACGATGACCGACACGGCTTCCGACTGAAAGGAAGCAGGCGTGTCGCCTGGTCCAGCGCGCTGTCGACTGCCCTGCAATGCGCCGTGCGACAACACCGCCAGGACTGCATGGACTGGACTGCTGTGTTCTGTGATCGGTGGATGGGCGCCCGCGAAGTTTATAACGCGAAGGCGCACGTGTCGAAGGCACCGTTCGGCGGTACGGAAGAGGGGCCCTCTACTGGTCGGTGATGCGGTCGCGGGTGGGGGCAGGCCGAAGGGAATGCATTCGCAGGATCAACGCGTTCGCATCCCGCTGTCCCTCACACGTGCTGTCATTGAGCTGTATCCCCTGAAACACACCCCCGCAGCGACAAACCCCCTCGCCATCACATGAAGGCGGAACACCGAAATAAAAAAAAAACCTGCCACTCCCTACCACCCAGCCCATTGGAGCCTCACAGACAGGCATGCACAAAGACGTCTCCATTGGAAGGCGGCCTTTGAATGCCATGCCGCATATAGTGTTGGCCAAAGAAAGGAGGTCGTTTCAGTACATAGATGTTCGTCGCAAGAACGCAAACATGAAGCAACATAAAACAGAAAAATTTAACAAAAAAGGAAAAAATACCAAAAAAACAAAAAACACAAGTTATCCTCAACACACTACCATGAATTGATCCAAAGGACCTATACAAAAAAAAACTCTCTCTCTCTCCACATTGAATCTCTCTCTCTCTCTCTCTCTCTCTCTCTCTCTCTCTCTCTCTCTCTCTCTCTCTCTCTCTCTCTCTCATCCATGGAAAAAGAACGAGGCACGAGCAACGTCCACATCCATGCGACTGCGGTCGACGATAGCGGATTCACAATGATGTGACGGCTATAGCCGACCAATGATCCCCGACGGTCGCACGTGTCTACCGTTCTCGTATAGCCTTCGCTATTTCTAGCAGCGCCTGACACATAAGCTTGCTAACTTCAGTGGAAGCAGAACAGTGTTGTTTCTGGATCTCCACCTCCACTTCGATAGCTTCGCACTGCCAAATCTGGATGGAGCATTGTCTCTTGCTCGCGCTCTCCATCGTCTCGCACTGCCTCCTGCTGGCGCTCTCCATCGTCGACGCCATCAATGCCCCATGCTTGTCCATGCACTCCGACAACGCCTCGAATGTTTGCCGCTGCACATTCTTCCTCTTCCCGAACCCGGCCGGGCCACCACTCGTCTGTGAGCCACCCCGTGCTGAGCTGTCGTCTTCGTCGTTTCCATCACCGCCGGCTTCACCATCCCCCACAGATTCCAGAGTCGCCGACTGTGCAGATGGGAGTTGCACACCCCCTGCCCCGCCAGTGTCTGCAACATTGGTCGGGCTGATAGTGTGGCTCCTCTCCTTCGCCCCTTTGATCTCCTCGAAGATGGCTCGATCCATGTTGAAGTTGAATCCTTTCTTTGCCCTCAGCTGACTCGTCAGCTGGAAGAAGTCCTCCTTCCCCGACATGCGCTTGAAAGTGTGGACCTTTTTGAAGTGCTGCATGAGATTGTCCCATTTTTTCCCGCATTTGTCTGCCGGCCTGTCGACACCGACCTTCAGCAACCTCTCCCGGACGTCCATCCATTTCCACTCCCTCGTCCGCATCCGAGCAAAGTTGTGTCCCGACGCTTGCAGCTGGGCGTCCTGATCCCGCTTCGCCCTGATTAGGGCCACCATGTGTTCCATGGACCAGAAATTCTGCCCTCCTTCCCCACCACCCTCGCCTTCCGCATCTGCAGAGGCCGTCGTCGATCTCGTCCGCCTGCGCACCGCTCTAGTCGAAGTGCTGCCCCTGTCGCCCCTACCGCCCCTCCCGCCCATGTTCGGCGCACGCAACGGGAACACGTCGCCGCTATCGTCGTCGTTTACGTCGCACTGAACTTCGTCAGCGTTTGCCCACGCGTCACCCCCCCCGGCGGCCACGTGTGCTTGCCCACTCTGCTCGCCCACTCGTAAACGCTCCACACCTTTCGTTATGGACTCTTCTTGCTGCAGCTGCAACTCCTGCCTTGCATCCTTCCACACCCGCCTGCCATCTCCATGCGCGCCCTCGGAAGGGAAATCTTCGTGAGTCACAGCCCGATCAACGGGACGACGAACGCGGTCGTGCCCCCCGGACAAAGGAGGACTGAGGGTCATCCACTCAGGACGTTGCCCGACAGTGCGTGGAACTGACGGGCCAGAAGTCGCCTGTGTTCGAGGCCATGCCATCGTCCTCCCCGACGTCACCTCTGCCGCCGCTACGCCCCTTGTGCCCCTGCCGCCGAATGTGACCTGGCCCGCGTCGTCGTCGGGATAAGGGTTCACGAGCACAGTGCGCGTGACAGAAGACGGGTTCCCGCTCCGGAGGTCAAATGTGAGATCGACAGGGAGGAGGCAATCCTCCTCCTCCGCGCCGTCGTGAAGGAGGGAAGTGAACGACTGCCCGTACTTCGTCCCGCGACGATCATACAATTGGCTACCCGTCCACTCCTGGGTAGACCCGCTACCTAGCGGAACTATCGTCGACTCGTCCACCTCCACCTCCCCCTCGTCCGAATCAGGCAGCGATTGCAAGTGAGGCGGCAGTCCTTCGTACGGTGACGGACCTGCCGCCCTTCTGTCTGCACTGACACAGATCGGAGCCCGGTCGGTTGGATAAGGGCCGAACAACATCCTCTGAGTCGGCCGCCTCCCGTCCATGGCAACGCTCGTCCTCGCCCCTACTTTCCTGCGACTACGTGAAGGCAACCTCCCCAATATGCACACGTGAACAAAGACCGCAACGACAAGCAGAATCACGACGAGGAGGAGCAGCGGCAGCTTGCGAAACACGTCGGCCATGTAAGGCAACCGCAACGTAAGGGCCAACCTGACAACGACAAACAGCAGACGCCAAGTGATGGCTGATGACGCCCTCCGCCGGTTTACATTGCAGACCTCTGCTGTCGGCGACGGACGTACAGCCCGACGAATTTCGAAATGGCCGCCCGTTGGAGGCCTGTCCGTTTCCCGCGGGCGCGCGCGAGCGGCCGGGTCACCTGGGGCCCTCCGCGGACCCCGTCCGCCACTCTTCGTTACCGTTGCCACTGTCCCTACCGAAGTCGAACGTCGCCGGCCGGTAATGTCCGCCCACACCTCGACTGGACCACCGTTGTACCACACTACAAAACTGTGCCGTCGTCGAAGGCTGCCGCCGCCGTCCCTATTTTCTCGGAAACTCCCACTCCGAGGGACCTCGCGAGGTGCCTTGGGGAGCGCAGCCAAATGGCTGTGGCCCGAGGACGCCCCGAGGACACCCCGAGGAAATGCTTTCACATCGGTTTCCAAGGAACTCTCTCCGAGGACAGATGGAACGATCATTTCCTCGGGATTTTTTAGCGCCCGAGGAGTGTCTAACGAGCCCCTTATTGCAAGGGTTGGGCTCGGGTGAGAAGCCCGGGATAGAATAATAAATGTAGAGAAGTAATAATATGGTTTATGTAAAGGGAGAGTTTGAAAAATTGATGAATGGAGGGGGAGAGTAAGGAAGGGATTGTTGAGGGTGGGGAGGGTAATGGGTGTTGGTAGCTATGTCTGTAGAGGAAAAATACGAGGGGAGGAAGGGAAGGCGAGGAGAGAGTAGTAGAGGGACAAAGAGAAGTAGCAGAAGGGAGGGAGGAGAAGGGAGGAGGGGGATTGAAGTATGTGAATGGTATTTACATATATACAGAGGAGATATAGATTATTTACAGTGTGAAGGTAAAGGTAAAGGTGATTTCAGTCGGGTTCGATAGCCCACGAACGCCTGGATTCCAGGATTCTGGAGAAAATGAGTCGGCCCTTCTGAATGGGGATTGCCCAGCAGTGGTCATGGGCCCACGAAGCGCTTGACTTTGTATTGTGGCAGCAGGTTCGAGCCTCCAATCTGCATCGATGATATCCCGGATGCTTCATCGACGGTTGGATTTTTTTATTTTTATTTTTCCTCACCTCGCATACTTTAAACTGGCGGGACAAGGGGACTCAGGGCATCGCTGCACGACACACGAAACGAGAAACGAAAGGAGTGCATCTGCCGGCCGAACATGGCCAGGTTCATGGTTTTGCTATAAGCCTATAACTAGTAAAGAGTGTATTTTGCCACCTTTTGCCGGCAGATGCACTCGGTTCGTTTTCGTTTCGTGTGCCGTGTGCCGAGGCCCTCAGCTACTTCAGTTATGAATTCCAGAGTCGGTGAAAGAAAGATATGTTTCATGGACTCTTGAATTCACTACCTTTTTACCAAGAGCCTAGCTCAGTGGGTACACCATTGAACTGTTGAAATACAAACCCGTGTTCAAACCTTGATGACAAGACTTGATGAGTAAAACCAAATATTCTGAATTGCCTGGGGCCGGTCAGATATCTGAAGACCGTCACCCTTTAAAAAAAAAAAAAAAAAATCATTACCTTTTTTTTTTTCCGATTTTTTTTTTTTTCCCGATTTTTTTTCTGAAGGAGCTGAGTTTCCTTGTGAAAAAAAAAAAAAAGTTTCCTTGTACAAAGGGAAAAAAAAAAGGGCTCATTACTCCCAATTAGCTAGAGTGGATTCGAACACTACGTCGCTCTGTGAACGCTGTTATGCTGGCTGGGCCATCCAGGCACATGGGCGGGGTAACCTAGGACTCTAATCAACTGAGCTCAGGCCCTAATTTCGGTCAGATACACCGAGTTAGGCTGTAATGGCGGTCACATACATCCAGAAAATTCAGTCCATTTGCGGTCCAATACATCCAGAAAAGTCAGTCCATTTGCGGTCGTGTACATACATCCCGAAAAGTCAGTGTCAGTGCGGCCTGACAGTAAGAGTTTTCTAGATGTATGTGACCACAATTACACGCGCAGGTGCATTTGTCTGACCTAGACTATGGTCCTCGCTCGACCACTCACAAAACGTGCAAACGCTCCACTACGCACAAAATGTGCAAAGGATGAAGAGGCTTTGAACCATTGGCCTTCCTTGAACACTTTGCCTGTCTGTCAGAGAATATTTATCCATGTTTGGGGGATGGCATCCGTTATTTCTCTCAAGTGGTCTGCTTGATGTTGAAGACCGGTGAGTTGGAGATGGAGTTCTCTTGCAGTCTTCCAATTCTTGGAGTCGTCGTCCCAGATATGACGAATCAACCATATGCCCCTCTGCATCCATTTGAGTCCAAAATTTCCTGTTGCTTTAGCGACCGAGAAGGGAAGTCCCGCCCTGTTGCGGATTGATTGATTCTCGAATAGGCATGTGTTCAGGATCTCGTCTCGGATGGTAGGGTCAGTAAGTGTTTGGGGGATCATCTTTGACCAGGCTTTGAGGATGTTATTCCAGGTGGAAGTAGAGGGTCTGGTGGTGAAGGGGCGCATCAGTAGGGCGCTCCAGACAGCTTCAGGGTTTCCAATCCTTAGCAAGGGAGTGTTGGGCAAGTATAATCCATGGTTGGTCCTCCGTAGAGGTCATGGCCCGAACAGGCCACTTGGCCAAGAGGGCCCGGTTCTGTTTTTCTGGGTCCAGGGTGCCTAGGCCGCCTGTTTTTCTTTTTTCTGTGGTTTTGCTCCAGCTTACTTTGTTGAGGCAGGCTAAACCAGTCTAGGGACTCCGCTTTAACTAATCTACTGGAATTGGAGGAGGTAAGAGTTCATCAACCCAAGGATACACAGGGTCTCTCGCCCACTCGAGTCATCATGGCAGCTATTCCCATTAGAGAATGAAAAACAGATGTTTGCAGGCAAGGATAGAAAGTCTCTTTGGCTGACGGAACTGTTACCAACGTGCCCATCACGGACTATACGGCCCAGATTGGTTATTCTCTATTTTCTGAAGCCCATTCTCTACAGGCAGGTCTCACTCTAAATTGGCAACGCAGAATCTCTACCCTTAACCTCCAACCGCTGTCCTCCAAATGGTTGCTGTTTTTTATCCATATTATTATTTCCTCTCTCGAGACCAAGGTAGGGGGCCTCCAATGGATGCACCTCCATTCATGTGTTCTGACCGCAATCTGGTGTGCGGAGAGAGGGATGGACATCCCCACATTATGCGAGGCATGCCTACACCCATGCCTAGAAGATTGGTTACACTTGTGGTGGGAATGTGTCATTGCTAGAGGTTTTTGGGACAATCTGAATTCACTGTGGGCAGAGGAATACAGCGTTGCAGACCTATGGAACCAGGATTTTGTTATTACAAGCAGGTTGAGCCCCCATAGCAGCAAAATTCAAAGCGGTGACGAACTACTTCCCGAACCTATGCTATCTTTCGTACCCTTTTTTTGCTTGTATCATACCAACCCCATAAAAAGTATTAAAAACCCCGTTTTGTTTTCTTGATTTCGGGTGCCGCGTTTTGGGCTCCCATCTTTCGGAAGCTTTTACGATTCCCGGGTTCTGCTTTTTCTTTTTGCAATTCGGGAAATACATAGGATTTATGTGCACCTTAGCGAGCACACTGAGAATTGGGACGGGCGGTTGGGAATTCTGGGATAAGCGGAACTTCGACGTGTTCTTTTTGTGTATAAACGTTCTCGGTCGCGTTGGGAAAAACGATTGGAATTTTGTGGGGATACGAATAGGTGTAGGACTTTTTTTTTCTGCGTCCCTCTTTCGCGCGTGGATATGGTGATTTCAATTTTGAATTGGTTTAGGACATAGGCAAGCTGTGACTATTTCGGTGCCTTTTTTCTCTCTTTTTGTTGACGGCGCCGCGCATGTGAAGCTTTCTCCTCTCTGTCCCCCGCATCGCTCTCTTCGTCGCTCCTTTTTCCTTCCCCCTCCTCTTTCTCTCTCCTCGCAACTATTTTTTTCTCTCTCTCTCCCGCTCTGCTCTTTGCGCGCCCATTGCCCTTTCTTGATGATCTGAATCTTGGACCCGTCTTGCGCTACTTCTCGCGCTTATTCTTTTCTCGCTCTTCGAGCAAAGCTCGTGAAGTCCGGTCGATCCTTCGATCAACATGGCTTCCACGGGGCACTCTCCTCAAAGTCTTCTCCTCCTGCTTCTTTCCCTACACTTCGACTTTCCCCCTGCCTTCTCTCTCTCTCGCCCCCCTTCTCGCCACTATAAATTCCACAAACACGCCCGCAAATCTCTCTTACGTTCTCGACTCCCGAGCCAGCTTCCGGGAAGCAGTGGCTAGGCAAAGTGTTTGGTGCGAGTCGGAAAGACCTATCGGGCTGACGATAGGCTGGCCGGTTGTGCGCTTGATCGCCACGACAGACTGTGGGATCCGGGCGAACCGCGTCGAGTTTACGTCGGCGGGGTGACGATCGCAGTGGTGGGAGTTAGCACGCGACGAACGGGATCGTCGGTGCGGGTATGAGGATCGATGATTGGAGTTGAGTGAGTGATTGGCCCGGGGCCATATTGGAATTCATGGGGAATGCGCCTTGTTGTTGCGGATCTTTATCTCGGGCGTGAGTGTACGGCGGCAATGCAGAACTTCCTCTTTTCGGATCTTGTCATCTTCTATCTCGACATTCCTCCCCCGTCTCCCTCTCTCTCCTTTATCTTTGAATGATGATGTGTCTCGATGTTTGTCTCTCTCTCTCTTGGATAGGAATGAATCTGTGTGCTTTCCTGTGTGAAAGAACTTCTTCCGGAACTCTTCCATTAGTTTCCTGGGTAATCCCCAGATGTCAAGGAATTGATCCTCTTGTCTTGTGAACGGTGGATGCGTGTGTACAATTTCCTCGGTTGATTTCCGACCTGTGTACCCTTGTCATTTTCGCACCTTCCACAGTGAATGTATGTATGGAAATACTTGCCTTTTTGTATTGATTAGGCGCCGCACTCAGCGGGATTTTATTCGAGAATGCAAGAGTGTTTATATCTGTAGTTTTGAATGCACTGCGCATGCTATCTGCCTTATGCTCCACGACATCTGCAGCCGATCTACAAAGCAGCCTTGGGAAATAAGGCGCCTGGGATCAACACCGCGGTGGCTTACGGAAACCTGAGTCGCGGGTCGGTCCTTCAGTTACATGCATGATCGAGCTGATGAGTGTTTTCTCTCTCTCTCTCTCTCGTGTCGAAAAGGATTGATTGGTGATTGCGCAAGTGTTTTCTCTTGATGATGTCCTCGGAATTTTTGCAATTGATTGACATGTAGACTGACAAGCACCCTTCGATCGGGCGTCAGCCTCTCGTACCTCCCGTATCAACACGACCTTTTCCCTACAATGAGGAAATGACACGTGTATGCGAGTGGGACGTACGAGAAGTTGTCGCACAGATCGGTGGACGATACTACTTCCCTCCGGCAAACTGTTGTTCAGGGTTCGTAGAGGCCGGGTTTATCATTATCGATACGCACTTTCCACCCTACTCAATATTGCTCCCCTTTAACGAGCTGATCGTCATTCCGTGGATGGCAGTGGCTCCCCATTGGCCTCGAACCCTG